GAGGAGAGAATTCACTTTCACTCCTCTCTGCTTTTGCATGTATGTAGGTAAACCATCCAATTGTGAAGGTGAAGTAAAGAAAAAAGTGTTTGCACAAACAATATTTTGTTACATATGAATGTACTCAGTACTTACAGTTTTGCAGAAGGGAATCTGTATTTTGCTTTTGGATGTATTGAGTTTTGTTGGTAACTAGAATTGCCACCAACTTTTGTCCAATAAAAAATGTTTGATCCAGTTATTACTAAGATCATTTCAGGTTGTTGGTGAGCTTTCCAGGTGTCTTCCTTACCATCTGCAGAGCAGTGAGCTCATTGCAGAATTAGCTGTTGAAAAACTTGAATTGATTTATTAAATTTATATGCCACCAATCTCACATACATGACAGATGTTGGGTCAACTGGAAATCTCTTGAAATAAGGAGATAATATGACTGGGACATCATATAGGAAACAATATTGCAGGCAAAGATTGTAATTTTTTAAAACTCAGTTGAATTTAGCAATTGAAATAGCTTAACCCCCACCTCAACTTATTGCCAAAAAATCTGAGTAAACATGCAAAGGCAAGGGAGTTTAAAAGTAACTGCATTTATACCAATGCTTTGCTACTCCATCCTGGCAAAATAGTTTTGCAGTTGTTTCGCTTGATGTATATCCAGGCCTATAATTGCTAAAGAGTTTTTGATTAACAACTCCAACAATTCTAGTCAATCTAATTGTTTCTTTATTCAGGAAGCACAGAACTGTTTTTCATAAGCAATCCTTGTCAGCCTTATAACTGTCTTCGGTAGGTTGCACTGTTAGCTGCTGTTACATACTTTGAATGAGTTGGTGAGGTGAGTTTTTGTAGCTTTCTCAAGATAGCTTACAAATTCAGTCCTTACAAAGTCTTTTGATCTGATCGACTCTTTCATTTTTTTCCCCTTTGACTTCAATGGCCTTGAACTACTTCCAAGGATTGCAAGGCTGTTTGATGAGCAGACGCTCTTAAGGAATCTGGAAGATAAGCAATGATGTTGCAAAGAGGGTGGAGATAATAGAAGAGAAGAGAGGTGGAAATAGTGCCTATGAGCCACAGAAAGATTTCAATTGAACCTTGTGCCTGCTAGAAACTGATGAGTTGCAAACATTAAAAGAAAACTTGTAGAGACAAGAAGAAAATAAAGGGGAAAACATGTGTCCAGGATAATGTTGCAAGATCCAATCTTGGTCAGTCACCAGGACCAAAGATTTATAGGATAAGTTATTTTTTTTCTTGCAAGATCCAACCTGAGTCGGTCACCAGAACCAGAGATTTACAATATATGGTCCTGGTGACTGACCCAGATTGGATCTTGCAAGAAGAAAATAACTTATCCTATGCCTTTTGTCCATCTTTCAGAAATGCTACAGCCCAGAGTACAGTAGAACAAATCCTTAAAAATTCTGGTCATATCTTGAGACCTGGCAACTTTCAGACCTAAGCCAGTCATTTTAGGGAACCAGGGTATTAAAAACATTGGTGGATAGAAGAAGAGGCCAACAAAGTTAAAAAGATTGGAAATTGTAAAAAGTTCGAAAGATGCTTCTCTTTAGACTTGAGTTGCTTGGTGCTTGCTTTGGATACGCGCCAGAAGAAAGCTGTGCATTCAGTTTTGACACCCTTTTTGGCTTTCAGAAATGCTTGTTTACTTGAGATTTTAAAGAATTCTTTCATTGAGTTTCCTGGGTCATAGGTGACAGATGGCTGGATGAGCCTATTCAGATTCATCATTCTGGATTTGTGAGCTTTATGAATAAATTAAATAGATGCCAAGGAAAATGACATAGAGATTTCCAATTTGGCCAAGTAAAAATGCTGTTATATTTTGTTTTTCTTCTCCTCAGATCCTGCCTGCATAACAGAATCATACAATACATCCCAGATGCAAAGTACAAATTATGTGGCTTTTGAGTTTCTGAAGAGAAATGTTTATATTTTGGTTTCTATGCTGTTATTTCTGACTGTTTACAAGTCCATACTACTAATGCAACACAGAAAAATAAATATCCAGGAAAGATGGAATTGCTAAATCTCCCAATCTCCTATTCTTAAATTTGTTCTTTTTCAAGCATAACTTGACACATGCTGTTCCTCTGAGAACAAGGAGTGGCAGGTATTGGACAGAGAAAGACAGGATGTACAAAGTCAGATTGTTTGTGTAGGAAACAGTTTGGTGTCAACATCTCAAATAAAAAAATGAGATTCCTCCTGAGTTTTAGGGAATGCAAATGCTGACCTACCAGGCAACAATGGGAATTGCCTGGAAATCTATTTCAGTTGCAAGCAGTTGTAGCATGTTTCTTTTGTGTGTATTGTGAATTCTTTCAGATGGGTTTTTATAAGGCAGTTGTCCTGCTTCAGTCATAGAACTTTTCAGAAGGCTTGGGAGTCATTTTTATTCTGATTCCAGTCCATTCCAATTTTCACCATGTTCTCCTACCAGAAAAATGTCCATTCAAGAGGAAATAGCAAATTTGACCTCTCGTATCCTTTGCTTGATAGCGTTAAGACTATTAATCTCTCTTAGAAGGCACATAGTATCTGCTGATAAAAAGGAAAAAAATAATCATCACTATCTCCAGCCAGATATCTAGGAAGCATGGAGGCAGGGCATGACACATTTGTCCATCAGCTGGTATGCAGTGGTACATAATTGCTGGATGTGGAAAATTAGTTCATTTATAGAAGTGACTTCCATTAATATCATTTAATTAAGCTTTCTTCAGTACTACTTCTTGAGTGTCAACACATATTTTGTGTGGAAAAACTTTATTTTGTCTACTTTGAAGCTCCTTGTGTGTACATAACTTCTAATGCATATCTTTACATAGCCCATAATTTTTTTGTAAGCAGTTTCACTTACAATTAAAAGCTTCTTTGTACATTTTCTAAGGAAGAAATTTATTTTTGTACCAATGTCCCCAAACATACATATATTTGTTTGGATAACTGTTCCGAAACATTCTAAAAAATATAAATCCTGAATTTCAATTCTTTCTTGACGCACATCCTGATTTCAGAAATGTGAACTTGGTAGGCTGATATCAAAGCAATGTTTCTTCATCCAGCCATAATTACAAGATGCATAGAAAAATTAAGAATTGAAGAGAACCTAGGATAAATAAGGTTAGGGTTAGGACAGATGGACATGTTCTTTTCCATTCTGCATGATTTCTTGGGAGTGCAGAAAAAAGATGCTATGCAAAGATGCTATGTGTGTGTATGACTTTGAGTGAATGTTGATGTCATGGCCTCACAGCCAAGAAATAGGGCAACCTCCCCTGCCATTAGGACCCTGCATCCTGGCAAATTAAATGTCTCATGAGCAAATGACAAGATGCTGGCTCTACAAGTAAGCCCAATGCCTCATTATTGGTAAGTGCTGAGCAGGGAGAGCCTCACCTGTGTATACTCAGAGGCAAACGGATTTAAACTGTGCGGGGAGAGCCTTCCCTGATTTCCTGTTCTTCACTCCTGCTTTGTTTTGACCTACGCATGTCCCTGACCAAGTCTCTGGCTCATCCCTCGGTACTTTTCAAGCTGTTGCTTGATATGCTACAGCTCTTTCACCAAATGTTAATAATGACTTAAAACTGCAAGGAAGATTGTGATTGGAATGAAAGAAATACTGACTTGAATCATGCCTTCTCCTCAGCCTTTAGTCTACACATGCACCGTCCTTCTGCTTCCTCAATTTTTTTTATGTTGCCTTCCCCCTACCTGATTCCTGCCATCTCTCCAAATAAGCTTTCCTGATGTTCTTGCAAGCCTCACCCCCAAGCACCCGCTCCACGCCTATATTTTGCCTGACAACTGAAGCCAGGATATGAAAGTTGACTCCTGGCGACTGCCTGGACAAGTCCCTGCAGTTTTCTTGGCAAGGTTTTTCTGAAAGCGATTATCTGCTTCCTAGGTCTGAGAGAGGGGGACTGACCCAAGATCACCAGCTGGCTTTGTGCCTAAGGCAGGACTAGAACTCACAATCTCCCAGTTTCTAGCCTGTTGAATTAACCATGGCACCAACTTGGCTCTGTTTATGCAAAATTAGAGAAGAATCTTTTTTATTGACGATGGATGTAAAGACTACAGTATTAGGTCTGACATGACATAGGTAATGAAATTGAAAAATTGCAAAAGTGAGAAAGCTGATATTGGAATGTGGCTGGGGATATTTACTTGTTTTTATATGCATAACTCACATTCCCTCTAGCAGATCTAAATGGCATACCGGTGGTCTCCCCCAAATTGTACTCTTTTCAGATTACTTTGTGAGGTAGGCTGAATGGAAAGAAAGTGTTTAGATCAAAGTTACTCACAGATTTCTATGGATGTGTGGGAATTAGATACTAGATCCCACTCATCCCAATCCAACATGTTTACTATTTCACCACCTTTCAGAACTTTGCACCACCTGTAACTTTTAAACCAGAACAAACCTGACCAAAAGTCAAACAGTGGGGAAGAAACTATGAAAATGAGGATAATGCTATAAATATGTTATAAACTTTATAAACATAATGTTATGTTTCAATTCCTGTCATTTGTAGTGGAATGTGCTTTCAAAAATGTTTAGAATGGACACCACATATACTGTAGCATGCAATCTGGCATGAAGGTTGAGCTTGCAATGAGAAATGCTCCAAAGGGAAATTCAGTTCTCAGTGCGTTTTGTGCAAAAAGGAATTCCCTCAGGGCAAATGTATGTAAGTTTTTTTTAGGATAATTTATTAAAGGAAACAATTTATTAAATCATGATTTATGTTTTTTTTCCTTTCCTGGTAGGATATTAAATTGAGAAGTTTTTCAGGGTTAGTTGCTTTAGAAGGGTTGGTCTTTAGCATTTGTCTTTCACTTTCTTCTTTTATTGCAGAGCCCTTCACCTCTTTTCATGCGGAGCTGCCTGCACTTTGGTACATTTAGACTTGTGGCCTTTCTTGTCTTCTGGAATATCTGTTGTGGTAACTCTGGTTTATGGAAGATGCCGGAAGTGCTGGAGAAACTAAATGGATCCTAACACCATCAGGAGAACGAAAGAACGAGCAGTGATAATGGTTTGGCTATGGATAATGTGCCTTCTTGGCCTAGCATCTTCTCTAGAAGGTAAATGCAAAGTTGATTCACTCTACAATAGAAATATTATTGATTGATTGATTATGTGCCATCAAATCATTTTTGATTCCTAATGATCACATAAGGTAAATTTTCTCCGTGACAATCTATTCTTTTAGGTCTCCCTACAGTGCACTCATTGGCACTGTAACTGAATCCATCCATCTTGCTGCTAGTTGTCCTCTTCCTCCCTTTCCTTCCACCTTTCCCATTATGTCAAATATTTATCCATAGCTTCTTTATTTACAAGTGGCATTTGCTGCTGACTAATGTTTTCAGAACTAGCTGAAGATTCTTACAGATCCTTTGCTAGGCAGTTCTGCTCTTGTAAGTACTGATTGTTAAATCAAATTTCTAAATATTTTATGCCAGATATGCTGTATGGTTGGAGGAAAGCTGATCAAAGTTTTCAAATCTTTAGTTTTCCAGTTCTCAAAGACAAAAACACAAACAAAAACAAAACCACCCATCCAGAGGCTACAGATTCTTTGGCTCTTATGGTGCATCTTATCTCAGTCCCACTATTTAATTTACATATTTAATAAATTAAATATACTCAAATGCTGGTTTATTATTAAACCCTCAAATTCCTTGCCATTCAGAGAAACTCTGCTAAGCTTCTGTGAATCCTGAAAGACATTAGAATTATTTGAGTTATTACAAATGTCCATACGGCAAAAGGTAACAAAAGACACTATTTCTGATGCCTGCTTTTTTAAAAATTAAAAGTTCTAGTCCTTGGGATTTATAGAAAGAAAGAAAAAAAATGCTCTGCAATGATGCTAAAGAACGTTGAAAGTGATAAAAATCTCAGATTTAAATTTAATATTAAAAAAGATGTGGGTTTAAAGCAATTGCATAGGATAACCTAAGGAGCCACTGAGACTCTTGCCATTCTTGATAGCAATCTTTAGATGGTATTTCTGAGGAATTATCTCCCTCTTATCTTCTGAAATTCTGTGGATCCCCTGTAATTTATGAAGTAATTAAAAAAAAAACACCCCACTGTACTGATTTCACAGCTGATTCAACCATTGAGACAAGAATGTATTGAGCTGAAACTAGTTTCAACTTCTGCTTTATTTGCTTTAATTATTTATTTTTCATCCGTTCGATCGTATCAAAGTCTTGGAAACTGCCTGGACAAATCCCTGCATTTTTCTTGGCAAGGTTTTTCAGAAGTGGTTTGCCATTTTTTGTTTGTTAGGGTTGAGAGAAAGTGATTGGCACACAGTCACCCAGCTGCCTTTGTACACAGGGTGGGGCTAGAATTTACCCTCTTCCGGTTTCTAGCCTAAAGCCTAAAGCTGCTATCTGAAAATGGCTGATGTTTTTGGCGAATATAGTTATGCAGACATTTAGAAGGAGCATGTTCATCTCGGCAGAGTAGTAGCTTCATTAAAATTTAAGAGAGAGAACCGCTGGTATGCAAAAGGAGAAGAATGTAGGTCTTATTCATAGGTAGATGTTTATTCTTTTTGAAGTTTATTTTTAACTCAAGTTACCAATCATGGTCTTGAGGAAAACCTGATGGGGATTCAAAATATATAAATATATATTTGATTGTATAGAACTACTGCTGTGGCTTCTACATATGCAAATGCTTCGAAAAGAGAAGAGAAAATATCAGGGCATCATAATACTTTTCAATTATCTGTTTTGTATCGTGAACTTGTACAGGTACTGATAACCATATCTTGGGAATTAAACATAATGTGTGGTATGGAACCATTTTAAATGGGCTTTGTTGTGGTCTGGCTTTCCTATTCCTGCTGTGAGGACTAGTTTGCACTCTGGTTGTTAACTGTCAAGTGGAAGATGGCTGGCATATCAAGGGAAAAATTATGCCACAGTCTCACTTGTGATTGTGCAAGCAATGTGCTATCTGTTGTGAACTAACCCACTGCTCCTTTAAATAATTGGATTTCTGTACTATAAACATAGGATGGAGGGGAGGGGATCCTTCCTCTGTGTCTGCTTCTATGCTTACAGCATTAACAAGAAGCAGAAACAAAGAAGAAAGTGGGTGATGCGGATGATTGACCCCAGGTTTTTTTTTAAGAGAAGGAATACCAAAACAAACAGAAAACGAATTGGGAATTGGAAATATGGGTGGGGGAATGAAAGTATAATGATGATTGGATGAAGATACTGCTGGATGGTTTATAAATAGTGAATGAGTGGGGAGATAAAATTTTAAGCTAGCCTCTTTGTTTGAAAATTGCCCCCACTCTCCTTTTTGTCTTCTGATTCTTTTCCCTTTCTTGTCCAAGTCTGTACATCCCAACATGGCTTATTTTTTATTCATCACAGCCTGGTCCTTTGCCTCCATTGGTTTTCCCCCTGCTTTCTGACCTGTCTTTTCCAGAAGCCTTCGCATGGGAGAGAAAGATGTGCATTCATCATGAAATGGCTCAGGTCAGTGAGCACATGTGGCCGCAGGGATTTTCTTTGGCCCAGCTACAGGAGTGCTCATGATACCCTTTCTTTCCCTCCCTGGTTAACTTTCTATCCCTGTTTCCCCTCTCCGTTTTTTTGTCTGCTTTCTGACATTCCTCTGATACGACATCTATCTCCTTATAGTAGAACATCCTTTTCCTCCACATTGTTATCAATCGTGGCAAGAACTGACTAATATAAGTTCCAATAGACTCCATTTTTTTGAAAATCTTTTCTGCCAAAACAGGATTGAAAACCCCCCCCCCCCATTTTAAAACCCTCTGCAATGGTCTCTTGACGTCTTAAAAACTTTCCCTCCCTTCTCTGTCCTTTGCTGCCTCCCATTACCTAGAACAGTGATGGTGAACCTTTTAGAAACCGAGTGCCCAAAAACTGGCCCCGCCCCGCTCCACCCCCTGCTCTGCCCCTGCTCCACCTCCCATCCCCTGCCCCGCTTGCCCGGAGGGCCACTCACCGCCTCCAAGGCCTGCTGCAGATCGCCCAGGCAGCCCAGCAGTGCTATGGCGGTTATGCCCTATGCCCACGCCCATGCTCAGGGGCGACTCTCCTTCCGGGGGGCTGCTGGAGAGGAGGGGGTCGTGGGGGGAGGTGAGGCTGGGGCAACAGCACGTGTGCCCACAGAGAGGGCTCCGAGTGCTGCCTCTGGCACCCATGCCATAGGTTCGCCACCACTGACCTAGAATCTCAGCCTAAGAAATATTTTTATGGTGCTTGGTTTTTGAAGCCATGAAACATAACACCAACATTCTTCTCTTCAATTGAAACAAGATCTAGTACATGGATTTTGTGTTTGGCTGGCATTTATTCTTCACTGGCTTTGCCTTTTCCTTCCCTAACCAGCTGTGACTTTAAATGGAAGCTCCATAGCCAGAATTGGAAGGGGCTACTGCTGATGCTACTGAATACTGTTTGCAGAGAAGGGGACTTGATTTCCTACTGTGCCTGTGGGCTTCCCACAGATATCCAGTTGGCAAATGTAGGAAACAAGATGTTGCACTTCACAGGCCTTTCATTTGATCCAATCATTACACTCCATATAATGGAAATGTTGATTAAAGTCCCTTGGGGGCAGGGAATTCATTTTTTAATCTTGTTACTTGGTGAAGCTGCATTATCTTCATTGGCAAGTGGCCCTAATGTTTCTCAATTATAATAATGTTCTCCATCTATAATGTTCTATTTTTGCTTTTTTTAATCTGGGGTGATTGCTACATATATTCATCAGATTCCTCTCATGTTCCCCTCTGCACATATGCATTTATTTATTTGTTCTATAATTTATTGATACAGGAATTGATCTGTTGCCTCCTCCCAAATGGTTCTCGGTATTTTCTGTTTATACCATTTCCAGCCCAATCTGCCCAATGGATTCATTATCATTATGGCTCCTTGCAGATGTGGGAAATGGGACTTGGTACTTTTGTCGGTAAAGTAAAAGCTCTGTTCCCGCTTAAGAAAAATAGCTGACCTTGGTTCTGAATTTTTATCTAGTTCTTTCGACTGCTTGAAGAATTAAATCCTTGAAAGCTGGCACCGGTAGCTAATTCCTTTCCTCCATCAGCGTCCTTGGCTCATTTATGTATCCCATTTCTTTTACAGCTTAGACCTTTTATTTGTTCCTGTATGTACTCATTTTTAATTTCTATGTACACGTGTTTCCATTTGAGAATGCCCCTTTTATTCCTATTTCCTAACCCAGGATAGCTTCAGGCAGTGATGGGATTCAAATATGTGAACAACCGATTCTGTGTGGATGCCACTTCCGAGTCCATTCTGGGCCTGGGCAACAAAAAATTAGCTACCAGTTCTACCGAACTGGTGCGAATTGGCTGAATCCTACCACTGTCTTCAGGATAATCATGACTTAACAGAACACAGAAGCCAAAAATATAAAACAAGTTGTGTAGAACTGTCAAGTCTACTCTGGCACCTTGTTTGTCCCAATAGCTAACCTACCGCCCATCACAAGCTTCTGAGAAATCATAAACATAACTTGAGCCCAATAGCATCCTACAGTAACATGTTTGTGGGAGACTTTTTAGAGTAGATCTGTCAAGTCTTCAGCAAGCATGTTACTAAAGAAGCAAGATTCAGAGAGACTCATTAATCTGGTCTAATGCTATTATTATTATTGTTGTTGTTGTTGTTTGTCACATAGTCAGCCAGATCTTTAGACTGGATTTGGCATTTTTGTCTATCTACTGAGTCCTTCTCAAGGACCTGGGATAGACAGATATTATTCTTTGATGGTGCTAAAGGTATCATTGCAGAATGTAAGCTGTTGTGAGTAAAGCTGCCTTTTGCAATTGACTGATGGTGATTTTGTCAATGCTGATGGTGTTCAAGTGGTGCTCCAGTTGTCTTGGGATTACATCCAAGATGACTATTACTCTAGTCTATTACTATTGGTACTATCTTTGATTTCTTTTGCCTCAGTCATTCAGATGTCTTCTTCTTGTTAGTATTAATAATAATAACTGGCAAACCCTATGTGATTCAAAAAGACCCAGCAAAGGGGATAACATCAGGAA